CGCCGATGTTGTGACATTTGATTGATGAATACGGTTCATCCCTTGCTTCGCCGATGTTGTGACATTTGATTGATGAATACGGTTCATCCCTTGCTTCGCCGATGTTGTGACATTTGATTGATGAATACGGTTCATCCCTTGCTTCGCCGATGTTGTGACATTTGATTGATGAATACGGTTCATCCCTTGCTTCGCCGATGTTGTGACATTTGATTGATGAATACGGTTCATCCCTTGCTTCGCCGATGTTGTGACATTTGATTGATGAATACGGTTCATCCCTTGCTTCGCCGATGTTGTAAGATTTAACAGATGAATACGGTTCATCCCTTGTTCGATAAAGTTTTGACGAGTTTTGTTTTGAAAGACTTCGGCTATATTCATGCAAAACCTTTATTTCTAGTACCATTCACTGAGTATCCGAGCTCACCCTCTCTATATATATGTAGGTGATGAGCAGGACGTCGGCGACGCCTAGACTGTTTTGAAAGCTTGTTTTGGATCCGTGCTTATGTCGGCTTTATTTTGCATTCATGTCGGCGAATCTTGAAAATCATGCTTCTTGGCTTGTAATTGCTGTATTTTGTATGTGTCGGCTCAAGAAGCCTTTTGATCAAGATGTAACACATATCTTGCTTTGTTGTATTCAACTTGTAAAGTTAATTGGAAATGTTTGATATTGCATTTGATCTACGCACAGATCTTATGGACCACTTGTATTTGATTTATTGCTTCCGCATTTGTGAGCCCCGTTCATTATACTCTGATTATGTTGAGTTTTTTGACCCGGGAGGCACAGTTGCTGGCTGACCCAAAACTGTAGGTAGTAGCTTAGGCATGGTCACGCGCCTGCTCACCTACATACATAATATAATAGAGTGAGCAGAAACCTAGTGAATAATAACAGAGTAAAGGGTTTAAATGAATGATGTCTATAATAGAATCAGAAACCAGAGTTCATATCAGAAACAAATTTATATTCATTTTTTTGATCAACTTCAAACAAAAATTACAGCTCATGCTTCATTATACATGGTACATCCAATAGTGTCATTATACTTGTTAGTTCCATAAGGAACCTCCGATACCGGGAACTTGTAATATACTTGGGCCACGATATTGTTACCCCAGGGTGAGGGCCATGAGACCATGGTGTTATTACCCCTGAGCAAGGGCCTTGCTTATAAACCATGGTATTGTTACCCCTGGGCAAGGGCCTTGTGCTAAGGATACCACGAATACTTGTCATAAATTGAACAATCATTCATTGGACAGAATATAACATTTCATAAAACAGAGCATTTCTTGTCATATCATATCATATAAGAAATTACTTAGACGTAAAGATAACTTTACAAAGTTATTACTCACAAATGGCTCTACTTGCAGAACAGACAAATTAGATAACTTGTGGCGCGTGACCTACACACATATAGCATAAACATATAATGAAACACACACTCGGTTGGGTACATAACTTCTTTTGTCCCATTCTTAGTGTGTTTCTAGGTCTTAACCTTTTATTGAATCTTAATCATGGCCTAGGAATGCCTAGGATGCAATGTGGATGCTAAAATGCACTTTGGAACCCTTAACAAAACTTGCTGAAAACAAGGTCCCGCTCGAGCACAACTTCCTTCGCTTGAGCGGTCTATAAATTTTGAAAAAGTACTGGTTGTGTGATTTTTCCACTTGACAGCCGCTCGATGGTCGCTTGACCATAAGACTCAGTTGAATTTAATGAGGTGTCTAACTCAAAAACATGTTGAATTCCTAGAAGAAGATCAATGTAAGAACATGCAAGAGGAAATTACTTGAAAACAATCTCAAATTGTGATGAAATGAGCATGCATGCATGATATGGTTCAATTCTCTTTAATTCTAACTTAATTCTTGTATCAACCAACTTAATTCTTTAGAGTTCAAATCCTACACATCATATTCGTACAATCTAAAGGTTGAATTCTTACCTAGACTTCCCAAGATTCTTGAATCTCTAAGTCCAATCTTTCTTCTCTCCAGCAATTCCCCTTAGTTGAGCTCAAATCTCTCCTTTCTCTCATTCTCTCATGTTTTTGGGCTCAAGGAGGATGAAATGAAGGTGCAAGAATGATCTCAAGGAGTTAAATTAGCCTTATATAGGCTTGATTAGGGAGTTTGATCAATTGAGCTTACCACTAATCAAATGAATACTATTTTATTCTAATTAATTCGTTCCGAATGGAATTTCAATTGAACCTGCCATAATGTTCTAAAAATTTCAATTAATACAAAAACCAAGTCAATTTCATGATCGGATGCTAATAAGGCCTTCAATTTACAAAATAGAACAAATTTAGAGAGAGATATTCCTACATAGGACAGATAGAAACTCATATAACACATAACACACGTAATGAATGCAAAATTTCATTTTAATTACTTATTAAGCATTCTTAATCATTGATTATCGTTAATTAAAGGTCGGGGTTATTTCAGTCGTTCAAATGATTGAGTTGTACTTGTTGCGCCTCCCTTGCTTTTTTTCCTTCTTCTACCTTTTTTATTTTCTCCTCTCTCTCCCTCATAAGCTCTTCACGGTCTCTTTTGCGCTCCTGTTTCTCACTCATCAACTCTTCGTGATATCGTTGGTGCTCCTCACGAAGAACCTCCATTTCAACTTGCATTGCCTCTATACATTTATCACGAGATTATGTCGTACCATCACTTGTTGAAGAGGGTTATAGGCCTATCCCAAATCCACCCAAATACCTTTCTCCCCCCTCCCCCAAGCACTCACCTTGACAATTCTTCTTGGATTAATGGCGTCTCCACTTCAGTTGATGTCACTTGTAGATTCACCATCTTATGCTGTCATTACAAAAAAAAAAATTTAAACTATTCAATAGAAGCCCAAATAAACATGCACGAATTTTGTCCACCTAACTAATTAATATTAAATACAATTGGTTTGAATGTGCAATACTCACATGTGGCTCACCATATTTGGGATGAATCCATTCGTTTGTCTTATTCAGCTTGTGTTTTTTTGCACAAAATTCGGGAAAATCTAGCTCTCCATCCTCCTCTACATATTAATTTGAAATAACAAAATTAATAGCTTTACAAAGTATTATTTACAACTGATATGTAGAAGTGATTTATAAAATTTCAAATTAGAGAACAATACACCATCATTGACATTGCTATTGGAAATGATCGAGATCCACTTGTATGATTGTATGGTAGCATACCCCTGTTTGCTTTGCCAGCTTTTGATCATTTCAAAAAAAAAATAAAGGGTAAAAAATTATTAAATGTCAAGGCATAATACAATTTCAAATCCGAAATAGTGGTTTATATTTATTTGTTACCCAATGAGATTCATCTTTCCAAGCCACATCAATCAGATGTTTCCAGTCGTCTAAGCTCACTCCTGTAAGCAGATGATTGTGGGAGTCATCAACACCCTGTTGCTCAAGTTCGAGGAACTCTTGCTTTAGGTTGTATCTCCAATCCTTGTACAAGAGGTAGGTCTTTCTATCAATGATCTGTTGAGCTTGTTCATCTGTATAAAAATCATCTCTGAGAACAAACTTGTCCTACAAGCATAATAAGTGAAGTATTACATTAAGTAATTTTAGCAATGACAAATATACATAATGTAGACATGTACGCAATTGTATTTTTGAATAAGAATTATATTTTTGAAAATCAATTATCTATGTTTTTGGGTGACAAATACAATAAATTAAAATTATTTAATTATCAAATAGACTTAATTTTTTTGTAAATGATATATATAAAGTATCCTACAAAAATAATAATTCAAATTATCAAAATAAGACACATAGTGAGCTGGTAAAAATGAACAATACCTTCTGGTCTGAAAACCAAGCCCTTTGGGTGAGCCAAACGGGTTGAACAGTTATTTTCCTTTGTCTTAGGGCCCTTCAGGACAATGTGCTAGAATTCACTTAAGGAACATGAGAGCTTCTGTCTAGAACATTTCCTATCTTCATGTTTTCTTTTCTTTTTTTATTAAATTTAAATTTCATAAAAAAAAAGTTTTCAAAATTCATCTCAAAATCATTTTATTAAATGTTCATTAGATTAAGGGAGAGTCATTTTTTTCATCACATTAACAACTCATCAAATCCGTAAAGGGAGAGTCATCTTATTAAATGCCACCATTGACTTTAAGGGTTTAATCCCTAAAGGGAGTGAGAGTTGAATTCAGAGGGCAAAGGGTGGGGAGACTAACTTTCATAAATACTAATCTAACAAGTGATTTTCGGTGACTATTAAAAAAAAACTTTTAAAAAAAAACTTGTTAATCCGCAAGGTGGAAACAATCAGAGCATTGGCAATTCAATTTACAAATTTAGTAAAGTTGAGTCTGAATTATAGTTTTTAAATAAGAATTAATTTATATTTAAATTAATGATGAAAGACTTGAAGTTACATTAACAACATTGTCACTCAAAAGATACAGTCGAAACATTAGGTTCAAACAAGCTAATAAGTTTTTTTATTAGCAAAGAAAAGCTTTATTTGAAGCAAAACATTAGAATACAAAATAGAGTACATAAAGAGAAACATCAAATAATACAAAGCCATGTGCAATGTTTTCTCAGTTCAGTGACACTTGAAAGTGTCACAAAACTATTCTTCTAGTGACATTTTTTAATTTTGTGGCTTTTTGAGGAAGTGCCATTTAAGTGCTACTACACCATAAAGGCTAAAACCTTTAAGTGACATTTTAATGTCATATTAGATACTATTCGTGACACTACCAAGCGCCATTAAAGAAGACTTACAGTTTAAAAAATGTCACTATATACTTTTTTAATGACGCTTCTTATGCCATAATTGATACTTTTAACAATTCTTATAAATGCCACTAGATCCAGCTTTTAGGATGTGCCATAAATGGAGATAAATTGAAAAACAAAACAAAACAAAAATAAATAAATAATTGTTTTACAACATTCACTCCATTGATATTTTGGTTTGTAAGATAAACAAATAAAATTTCATTTATTAAATGTAATTACAATTGATACAAATATAGCAATATTGTTCTTTACCAATAAAATAAAATGAAAACATTGTTCCTATTTTGACAAAGTCCATATCATTATCATAATATCATAAACAAAAATTAAACAAATACAATATTTACATATCCAAAAAAAGGTAATCTTCATATCCATGAAAAGCGACTTCAGTAATATTTGTGGAAGTCAATGCCCATATCGAGTTCTTGTAAGTTCCTTGTAATTGCTAGAATTGGCCTCATAGAATTGTCTATACAAATTAGAATGGCGTCTCATAAATATGCTCTTCAAATGTTTTGATGATGACACACTGCAATACAAGAAAAAATTAGCAAGTAAGAAGAAAAATACACTCTAAAAAGCGAAATTAGAAACAAATAGAAAGAGCTCAACATATCACATGTAAATCCCTTCTATTGAATTCATAGTAATCATTAGTAGATAGTATAGAAGATACTTTATAGTAACTCACCAACATTAGTATATAAGATACTTTCCAATTATGCTGCAAATTGATATATGATAAAACAATGAAATAAAAGAAGCTAATAGCACCACCACAAAATGAATAGTACATAAGGAAAAAAGAAAAAAGAATTATACTACACTCTGCTTTTGGTTTTTCATTTTCTTCCCATGCTTTAATCAAAGCTAGTTTCTTCTATTTTTTGTCATAATATATATGAAGCAAAAAATAAATCTAATCATCAGCATAGTGATTACCCTAATACTTAACAAGTAAGCCCCTATGTTTTACCTCTCTTAGTTTCATTTGTTGATTACTTTTTAGCACAGGATTTGAAATCCTATCACACATTTAAAAAAAAAAAAAATTATATACTTATGAACAGTGATATAATCAGCCAATTCACATTTTAGAGAGGATGTTATATATATATATATATAAAAGGATGTCAAAGGCTTTGGAGTGAATCAAAGTTAGTTAATATAGCATGATAGATGATCCCTTAAACTTAAGAAAAAAATTGCCTAAATCAAGGATCAATAGAACATGAAGGCTTTATATATATATATATATATATATATAGAGAGAGAGAGAGAGAGAGAGAGAGAGAGTTGGTTTATATATTTTAAAAAATTGTTTTGAATCTATATTTTGCATGCTTTGATGATGACATAATGTCTTTGTTTTCTATATATATTAAGAAAGGGAAAGAAGGAAAAAGAAATAATCAAATAAACAAAACAAAAGCAACATAAATTAATAAACCAAACACCCATAGAATTCACGTGAACCAAATACTTATCCCATGGCAATGCCACATAGATTTCATGTGAACAAAAGTAACATAACGTCTCTATTTTCTATATATATTAATGTTTGATCTCACATGGCAATGTCCTGTGGCACTATCTAATAATTTTTCTTGACCAAGGATGACTACTACTAAAAATAACAAATAATAAAGTAAATTATTTTCCTATTAGTCAAACAAATTCATCCAACTGCAAGATAGACTCAATGGCACATTCTATCAAACACTTACAAGACAACTTATGCACATACAACCATCAAAATCATGAAAACCTATGTGCATGAAACTACCATTGATACTTATGTGAACAATTTTGGTAGCCAAATGAAGAATACAAACTTGCTGGAAGAAGAACATTTTTGGGGAAAAAAAAAGGTGATGTATAAAAATTAAACAATCTAATTTGAAGAATGAAAAAAAAAAAAAAAAAAAAAAAAAGTTTTTATTGAGAAACTTACATTCATGGTTCTCGAATTCACTAGCATGATGCCTCTTCACAAATGTTGCTTACCCTATAGCAATCAAAGAATTCAGCAATTGAAGTTGTAGTACTATAGGAACATTTATGCTGTGTTTGGTTGGGGGATTTGGAGAGGGATTTGGAAAGAAATGAAAAAAAAGAAGTTTTTATTGAGAAACTTACATTCATGGTTCTCGAATTCACTAGCATGATGCCTCTTCACAAATGTTGCTTACCCTATAGCAATCAAAGAATTCAGCAATTGAAGTTGTAGTACTATAGGTAAGAGGGCATTTAACACTATCACAACATCATACTCTAGATGACTCATTAAAATATTAGGACATTACCACCATGGCCTGAGCTAATTCTCCAATGGAACATTTTTAGAAGTATGCCCTGCAAATTTTGGGTTGGGCTGGGAGGGGGCGGGGACAATCAAAATTCTATTTTGATGAAACAAGTAGTAAGTATAACTATTGACAAAACAAATGGTCTATACAAAATACAAAGACACAAATTAAAGTAAGAAGGAAAATGATGAGTGAATGTGAAAATTACTACCATGATAAGGACAACAAATACTCAAGAAGTATGGAACATATACAATGTATATCAATTTTTACTGTCTCAAAGAATGTTAACGGCCTACCTTGAGCCCTTAAAGGCTTAAACCATAGAAGAACAATAATTTGAACAAATTCGAGCTTTTCTGGAGTCTAATCCATAAAGAGTCAATGGTTTATGAATATATGTATGTGCACACACACACACAGAGTAATTACCTGATAGAGCAAAAGTTAGTCAGATATGTGAGAAGAGTGAGAGTTACTGATTTCGGTTGGTGGTGATAAAGCCAATGTCAATCAAAGATAGAGAGAGCAGAGATAAGTCAATTTCATTCAAACCCAAACCTTAGGATTTTCCCAGAACATAAGCGCTTGCAATCCCTGATTTTTCCCTTTCTTTTTGTGAGTGTTCCCAAGTGGAACTCTAGTGTTAGGATTCCTTGCTTCGTAACAGGAGAGCCTTTCCTTTCAATGGCCTTTTTTATTTTTAATTCTAGAATGCCATTAAATTTTATATGTGCTGACAACTTTAAATAAATAAAATGTCACTCAATTTTATTTTATTTTTAAAAAATTTCACAAAATTTATTTCTATTGACAGCTTTAAATAAAATGCCACTCAAATAGTGGAATACCCGTTGGGTTAAGTGACATTTTTTAAAAAAATGCCATTAAATGTATTTGTAATAGCATTTTTATATATAAAAAAAATGACACTGAAATTATGCCACTAAATAATGTTTTTGTTGTAGTGTTGTGACACTTGTTCATTGAAACATCACTAGAGCCTTTTATGTTTGTGGTCTTGTGACATTTTTTCAAAATGTGCCCCCAAATATTATTTTTGTGGCATTTTCTAAAAAAATACCACTAGTATAGTGCCATTAAAGTGTGTTTTTGTTATAGTGGTAGCAGAATAGAGAACTAAACTAGACAAATGGCTAAACTTGTCTGTATGTCAAGACCAAAACAGAACAAACGAAAGCAAGATATATGCCCTCAAAAGAAAAAACAAACCAAACCTCCCAAGTACATCTTATTCATAGGCTAATAAAAAAGTTAAGTGCTTAATTAACAAGACATATGGTAATTTGCAAGCATCTTATTCAACCCAAGTGGTATTTCCAAACTTTCTCCATGAAACCGATTAAGGAATGAAACTGCTAGCATATGAGTATAGTGATGGTGGTGCTATCACATAGAACCATATCCCATAGCTAACTATCAAAAACAATAGGGAGATGTGCAATAAGGCACTAAAAGGATGCAACGGGCGAACAAGTATAATCGCCACGATTGAGGCAAGAAAGCACGTTGTGGTTAGTGGACAAGTTCAAAGATTGAAGAAGGAGAATGGTTTTTATGTGATGATAAATTTTTTTAATAGAACTACATTGAAAGGATTGTGGGTAGTGTTGGGGGGTTTGGGGTAGTAAAATTACTAGTGCAAATATGTATAACATCAAATTTGGAGGAGACAACATCAGAGCCAAAACCCCCAGTCATGTCCCAAAAACTCAAATTGCTCAAACACTGAAGCATCCAGTTTACAGTTTCATCAAAGAAACCATAACTTGAAGACACAAAAAACAAAACTTGACGACACAGAAAACAAAACTTTAAAAAACAAAAAAATTGTTTATATAAAAGTTCAGAATATTTATTTAAATTTTTTTTTAAATAAAAGGAAGGGAACTATAAACAAATAAAAGATCAACCAACAGTGAATCAACAATAACAGTGCCTATAAACAATCAAACATTACTCACTGATTTACAAGAGAATTACAGTAAAAAGATGTACAACATCAACATTTAAACAGTAGAATGAGCATCCCAGTACAAAAAAAAAAAAAAAACCCAAATCTCTTACTAGTCACACATTAAGCTAATATATTTCTAAAATAAAATTATCTCATGAGCTTGAATTTGGGATTTCTGTCTAGAAATCAACATAAAATGAACACAAAAATCTAGATTTTGAGTTAAGAAATCAGCACACAATCAAACAACAAAAATCATATAAAACCATAGAGCTATGTGCGAGAAATGGGAAAATAGAAGAAGTGAGAGAGAGAGAGAGAGAGAGAGAGAGACCGAGATGGACAGAGAGAGAGAGGGATTCAGACTGAGAGCGACAAAGAGAGAGAGAAAGAGATCGCAAGTGACAGAGCGAGAGAAAAATACCTGTGATTAAGTGGCGCTGGTGATTTGCAGGTGGCGATGTGCGATGGTGGCGAGCACTGGTGGTAAGCGGGGTGAGGTTTGGTGAGAGCAAAAAGTGTTTGAGATAGAACAATGTATATCGTGTGTGTCGGAGATAGAACAGATAGTATATATCGGGCGCCAAAATCAATTTCCTTCCCCCAAAAAAATAAAATAAAAAATTCAGCCTTTAGCGACTAAATTATTTTTTTTTACGCCAAATAGTGATGAATAATGACTAAAACTGTTTTGTAGCCAATGATTAATTAATAGCGACTAATATATTGGTAGCCAAAAGTATCATTTGGCTACTAATTTTTTTTCTGTCCTCAAAAATTGAACATACGATGACTAAATTTTGTAGTCAACAAAAGGTGTAAAAAATGTCCATAATATTTGGCGACTAAACTATATTTTTGTTAGCAATGAACCTTAATCAGCGACTAAAGCTAGAATTAGTAGTGTAAAATATAAACTTTTGGCGACTAATTGTTATTTAGTCGCTGATTACTATATATTTAGTGACTAAATTTTGTTTTAGTCGCCAAGAAGACAATATATCTCAACTAAATTCAAATAGTAGCTAAACCATGGACCTTTGGTGACTATTTTTTTTTTTTTTTTATATTCGCCAAAAGGTATATTTTTGGTGACTAAATTTGTTTTGGTCGCCAATTTTGGTCACCAAATGTGTAGTTTCTTGTAGTGAATTTAGATAAGTAAGAATAAAAACAAATAATAAAGAAATTAATATCATAATATCTAAGTTGCTTAAACGGTAAGTGTGTTTTTAATGAAATATAAAGTTATGAGACTAGGAAAATCCTCTCACATGGATTTTGGAGATTCAACGAAGAGATGAACTTTGTCCCTATAGACCTGCACAGATGAGCATGATTGGTGCCACCCAACCGAGGTTGTCGGTCAGAGACACTTCGATGGTGAAGTTAGTCACTTGATTGAAAGAACGAATGTATAGAAATAGAGAGTGTTTGTGTGTTGTGTGGGGGAGAGAGATCACCTGCCTCATTCTCTGGGATGCCCCCTCTTTATATAGATGGGGGGTCTAATATTTGTTTGGGTTAGACCCATTGTAGGCCTTGTTTGGTTTAGTCGCAATAAGCTAATATATATTTTTTTCTGTCTCCCACAAAAGTTTTTGGTTCGAACCTTACTTGTGATATAGTATAATATTTTTTTCATTTAGCATATAAAAATTTGTCACGTGGCTTGAGGAGAAAGTTCGGAGGTTTTTGATACTAAGCCTAGTGTTCACATGTATAATAATACTAGTGGGTTGCATGTGCATTGCACGTTGTTTTCATCTAATCTAATATAATGCAATGTAATTAATTTTTAAAAGTCCTTGTTATTGGTATTTGTTCTTGTAATATAAAGGATAAAGTTTAGAATAGAATGAGTATACTAACAATGCACTCCTTTGTAAGCATATTGTATAGACAATTTAGCAAAATCGTGAGCAAAATATAACATATATAAACTTTAAAAATATAATAAATAAGTTCTTAAATACATAATGTTACCAAAAAGAAGAAAAAAGAAAACATAATAAAGAGTTTTTGAGACTAGTTTTGTGCAGTGAATATCGTACGTAATGAGAAAGATAGCATTATTTATAAGAATCATTTTATGTTTTATGCAGAAATTGTATGAAATTTATTTTGTAAGAAAATGAAACTTAATGTTTTCGATCCATATGGAAATTGCATAAGTAATTTATTGATATTTATAAACCCACTATTTTGTGTGTATTCAATTTCATTGTCAATTTACATTATCAAAAACTTTTATACAAATCATAAGTAATTATATGTTAGAATTTATCAAAGAATTAATGTAATAGACTTACTTTTGCACCATTAAGTTCTAGTCATGATGTTTAGCTATCATTTGACTTATCCCTTTTATTATTGTCAGTAATTGTAACGCCCACAAAATAACATAATAAATCCAACTCATGAACAGAAGGATAACAGAAATAAAATACTTTCATTCATCAGAGTTTGTATTACAAAAGATAACACATGCATTATACATTCATAAATGTTCATCCTGAATCTATAGCATGTAATACCAATTAATGATCAACAAAACAAATGCCCTACGGGCTTACATCTTTCCAAGATATTGCTTGGTTACAACAAAAGAGAGTCATAAGCTCTATACAAATAAAGCCTTCGGCTTGAATAAGCATTAAACACAAACAACAAAATAAAGCCTCCAGCTCCCAGACCCTCCCATGCTACGTCCTTGGAGGAAACATGTCACCAGTACCTGAAAATGGTTTCCCAAGTAGGGTGAGCCAAAGCCCAGTAGAAACAATCTATCACAATATATGAGGTTTAACGAAAATATAAGTGTCAAGTGTATATTTAACATTTATGACAAAACACACATTCTCCACATGATTATGCGGTACTGATATTCATATCTAAATTCATTCTCATCTATTCATTTCAAATTATTTCAATTCATCTCAGTTCATGGGCCAAGTTTATAATTCTCTGAATAACCCAACTGAGACTACAACTCAATGGTTCTCAATCAACACAATCATCATACAAGCACTTCAATCTTGTCATTTTACAGAAATTTCGTCCGCGGAATCGGCACCCATGTATATACATGATTTCGGGACTTTCACCCTGGACACTCCGACCAACTTAATTTCAATGGAATCCATCCTCTATCTCCTCCCAAAACATGGAGTACATCCCCTTTCTCCTCCCAAAACATTATACATATACAATGTATTTAAAATACCATCATATTCAATGACTATCAACTATGCATATTCAATGCCTTAACATACCCTCATATTCAATGACACAATTAAATGATTAGTTTCAATTCACCTAATTCTCATGCAATTTCTACAACAATCATCGCTACCCTCCACCGATAACCCAATACAGATATTTCTAAACAGATATTCAATCTTAAAACAGATAATTTATTTAAGACTTTCAAAGGTGAGAGGTATTACATACTTAACTCCACCATCTATTTCAATGTTCGTCCAATTTCATATTTACAACACCAATTTCATTTATTTATACAAAATAAATATTGTAATCTTTTTAGGGCAAAACTTTCCATTTTTCCAAAAATCAACCCAAGTTCCAAAATCAACAATTTTGACACAACACCACCTTATTTCCAAACTCCATAGCCATTTAATTTCCATTCATCAAAAACCCTCTTTTATTTCCTAACCAAACCCTAGGTTTGTTCAAATTACTCCGAAATCCCACCGTTCTTACACAATGACAAATAACTAAGTTAAAGATCATATGAAAGTGTAGAAGATCCCTACCTCAAAGAGAGAAGATAAGCCAAGCAAAGGTAGAACTTCAAAGATGCCCAAACCCAACTCTATTCGGATCAAAATGTAGATCTTGAGATGCTTTATCTTTTTAACAAAGGTGAATGGGTGGAGAAACCACTAGAACTAGGTGAAAATGTAAAGAGAGAGAGTGTTTTAGAGAGAGAGAGTCTCAACCTTAGGTTTTGGGATGAAAAGATCTAAAAAAGTGACGTAAAAAGTCATTTTCGCGATCTGATGTACGCACAATCCGCTCGAGTGTAAAAGTTGACGCTCGAGCATCAGACACAATAAGTTGTTCTGCTCGAACGCAGAATACTCGCATCCAATACTTTTGCTGGCAACAGACAAACCGTTCGAGTGCAAGAAGAGCCACTCAAGCGCCCACCCGCTCGAGCGTAAGAAATGTCGCTCAAGTGTAGAAAACATCCCTCCAATACTTTTGCAGACGTGCAAAATACTGAGAGTTTGCAAATCCCACTTGAGCACAAGAAACGCCGCTCGAGTGGAGGACCAAAATTCTAGGGAACACCAAGTTTGAAAACCAAGCAACCAACCTGTTCCAAACACACTCAACACGCCCAAATAACCAAATTCAAGGAGGAATAAAGAGTAACAGACAATGAACAACATTCAGAAATCATAAACCCGAGTCCGAACTATCACAAGTGTCGGGTCTAAACTTGGATCGCTATAACCTTCCCCCCTTAAAGAATTTCGTCCCCGAAATTTCAAATTAAGTTTTAATACACAACTAAAACTAATTACGGCAACGATAATCATTCAATTCCATTACCATGACTCATTCACCGGTCATCCATTTTAAGCAACAAGTTAAATAATATCTCAATGCTGAATATACAATTCATACTTTCCCAAATCATGTGCAACGTTTAATCAAAATCCAAGTTCTTTTTCTGAAATTTATACGGCATATACAATGCTCCCAAAAGTGATACAATCATACATAATATTTTATATTCTTAAAACATACACAATGCTTATATTGAACTCAAAATTCCAAACTCCCATAACATATACAATGTTCTCATAATTCAAAACATATACAACGTTATTACATTTCTTTAACATAATCAATATCTCAATACATGCTCAATCCTCAACAAGCAAGTCCGGATATTTCTCTCGGACTTCCAATTCACGCTCCCAAGTCGCTTCCTCTACCCCGTGATGTTTCCATAATACTTTTACCAAAGGAATTGTCTTGTCTCGCAAGACTTGGTCCCAGGTATCCAAGACTCTCACCGGTCTCTCCTCATACGAGACGTCCTCGTTTACCTCTAAGTCGGTCCAATCCAGCACATGCGATGGATCCAGCTCATACTTCCGGCGCATACTAATATGAAACACATAGTGGACCCTAGAAAGTTGTAGTGGCAATGCCAAATGGTAAGCTACCTCTCCGATCTGCTCAAGGAGCTCAAAAGGCCCAATAAATCGAGAGGACAACTTTCCACTCTTCCCCCAAACCTCATCAAACCCCTCCGAGGTGATATTTTCAAGAACACATGGACCCCTACCTCAAAAGAGGAGGGCCTCCTCCTACGATCGGCATAACTCTTTTGACGACTTTAGGCCGTAACCAACCTCTTACGGATAAATGCAACTTTCTCAATCGTTTCTCGAACCAACTCCGAGCCTAACATAGGTGCATCACCCACTACAACAAAAAAAGCCTTTGGTGACAGACTGATTGTCTCCAAACATCAAATTTTCGTCACCAAAGTGACTTGTGACGAAAAAATTGTCACCACGTTTGTCGCTGAAAGTACCTGGTAACAAAAAATAGTTTCGTCGCCTATTTTTCATTTTTGGCAATGAAATTTTTCATCTCCAAATGTTGCATTTTTCGTCCTCTATAACATCAATTTCGTCACTAAAGTTAGATAATATTTTATTTTAATTGTTTTGCTAACGAAATATTTCATCACCAAATAGGTTTTAGTGACAATTTTTCCTCACCAATGATATAGATTAAGGTGACAAAAAAATTCGTCACTAAAATGAGTACAAAAAAAAATTCTTCAATGACAAAAAACATTTTGTCACCAAATATTTCAATTTAGCAACGAAATATTCAGCAAATGTGACGAAATTATTTGTTTGGTACTATATCATTAGTGAAAAAATTATTCATGTTGTTTGAAAACTAATATTGACATTTTTTTTCGTCGCTAATAATAATTAAAAAAATTAAAATAGGGGTAATATTTTCAATTTTAAATTTTTCTTCACACTAAAAATTCTCTGTGCATTTCAATAACCTGTTCAATAAAATATCTATTACAAATCAATACAAAAATCTGTTCATTTTCATAAACACCATAGTCGAATTTCAGCGTAATATCAACAAAAATACAATATCAACTGCATGCGGATTACCAAACCTGTCTCATAATATCAACAAAAAACATGTCTACTAATATCCACAAAAATACAATATCAACCGCATGCGGATTACCAAACACGTCTCCTAATATCCACAAAAAAACATGTCTACTAACATCCACAAAAATATAATATCAAGTGCAGATGACCAAACATGTCCTGTAATACCCACAAGTATAAAATTTACAATGCAACCAAAATACATGTAAGGTAAAATGAACAAAAACACAAACACAAAATGAGCAAGCTTCTGCTCTCCAGATTAACAAACATGTCCATATCTAATCTCCAATCTGCAACAAAACAAAACACAAAAAAGAAAAAAAGAATGCAAGTTAGACAATTATTATCTTATCAATTAAATATACAATTTAACATTCATTTTTGGACTTAGTTTTCAAACCGAGAGTCCCGTGCTAATTTCGTAAGTTTACACAAGTTACAATGGTCGCATCCGACATGTTTGAGGTGTTCCCCGAGCCTTCTCGTGGTTGTTTAACGATTTTGGCCCCGATGACTTATTTTCAAGCTTAAGTGTGAGAAAAGTGCATTTTTTGACTTAGTTTTCAAACCGGGAGTCCCGTGCTAGTTCCGTAAGTTTACATAAGTTACAATGGTTGCTTCTGATGTGTTTGAGGTGTTCCCCGAGCCTTCTCGTGGTTGTTTAACGATTTTGGCCTCCAATGGCCTATTTTCAAACTTAAGTGTGAGAAAAGTGCATTTTTTTACTTAGTTTTCAAATCGGGAGTCCTGTGCTAGTTCCATAAGTTTCCACAACTTACATTGGTCCCTCCTGAGGTGTTTAAGGTGTTCCCTGAGCCTTCTCGTGACTATTACACGATTTTGGCCCCCGATGGCCTATTTTCAAGCTTAAGTGTAAGAAAAATGTATTTTTTGACTTAGTTTTCAAACCGGGAGTCCCGTGCTAGTTCCGTAAGTTTCCAAAACTTACATTGGTCCCTTCCAAGGTGTTTAAGGTGTTCTCCAAGCCTTCTCATGACAATTACACAATTTTGGCCCCATATGGCTTATTTTCAAGCTTAAATGTGAGAAAAGTGTATTTTTCGACTTAGTTTTCAACCGGGAGTCCCACGCTAGTTCTGTAAGTTTTCACCACTTACATTGGTCCCTCTCGAGGTGTTTTAGGTGTTCCCTGGGCCTTCTCGTGACTGTTACACGATTTTGGCCCCCCGATGGCCTATATTCAATCTTAAGTGTTGGAAAAGTGCATTTTTTTACTTAGTTTTCAAACCAGGAGTCTCATGCTAGTTCCATAAGTTTTCATAACTTACATTGGTCCCTCCTGAGGTGTTTGAGGCATTCCCCGGGCTTTCTCCTCGCTACTATATGATTTTGACCCCCCGATGGCCTATTTTCAAGCTTAAGTGTTTGAAAAATGCATTTTTCGACTTAGTTTTCAAAATTGGGAGTCTCATGCTAATTCCGTAAGTTTCCACAACTTACATTGGTCCCTCCCAAGGTGTTCAGGGTGTTCCCCGGGCCTTATTGTGGTTGTTACACGATTTTGGCCCCCTCGATGGCCTATTTTCAAGCCTAAGTGTTGGAAAAGTGCGTTTTTTCTACTTAGCTTTCAAGCAAGGAGTCCCGTGCAAGTTCCGTAAGTTTCCACAACTTACATCGGTCCCTCCTGAGGTGTTCCCCGGGCCTGCTCGTGGCTGTTTCACGATTTTGGAGTCCGATGGCATATTTTCAAGCCTCAGTGTTGAAAAAGTGCATTTTTTTACTTAGTTTGCAAATCGAGAGTCCCGCGCTAGTTCTGTATGTTTTTACAACTTACATTGGTCCCTCTCGTGTTGTTATCACGATAATTTCTCATTGCCGAGTGTGAAGTCAGTTTCTCAAGGAAGTGCAAAAATATCAATAACAACAAAGACGTAGATAGATAGTTTATTTTAGATGTTTACAGCATCATTGATTTCAAGTTAGGATACTTCCCCATCTCACTGTTATAAATATATTAGTGAATTACAAATTTTCATAGAGCTATATTTCGATGGAGGCTTTGAACCACAGCAAGCAAGTTCGGTATTTCTTGATTCAGATCATGGTCATCTGAACTCAAAAATGAAACAAAAACAACAAAGAAAAACTTGTTTTGACTTGTATTAACCAAATGCTGCATAGACATAGAATAGTCATCTATTGTTTAATTTATGATAAAAGGTTAGATATCAGCATTAACCTCATGGTACAATAGAATATAACTGGCATATAACTCTAAAAGGTACACATTGAAGGAAATATGATAAAAGTTAAATCCCAGTTAGCAGTAATTACTGTAGAAGCTGGAAATTTGGTCAAATCAACAAGCCCAAACCCCTTTAAGACAGAGGTCTTGAGTACAGCACAATTAATATTTCAACAATTGTCTAGTAAAAAGCTAATAGCCTCACTACTCTACTCTAGGACCCTAACTCTTGCAAGATGCATGTACACAATTAAAATAAACGACATATTCAAAATTTATTAAATTAAAAGTCAACTGATATTTTCATGAAATCTACCAAATACTAGTCCTGCTAATTGTTTGAAATAATTCCAAATCTAACATAAGACATGGGCCAAATAAACTAACAATAGAAAGGACACACACCTGTGGCGTCAGAGATGGAGGAGCAGCATCAATGGAAGAAAGAGTCATGGCTTTGTTGGCTTTGTTAGCCAACTTGTACAAGGCTATAGAACCATCAAGTTGCTGCTTTAGGTTCGTGGAACCAAGAAGACCAAGTAGTAACTTTAATCCTGCACACAAGTGATATAAGCAAATGAAATCAATAGGGACAACAGTTTCAATTATGTCAAATGTCAGCCTAGAAAAAGGCATACCATTGTTATCAATGAATATTGTTCTCAGATCCTCTGCAGAACAAAGGTTGGCAAGAGCCAAAGCAACTCGTCTTTGAACAGTCTTCTCTACTATACGCATCAGATATAACAAATGGCTCAAAACCTACAAGGGAGAAATTAAGGGATTTAGATTCAAGAATGTACATAAAAAAGCACTAGAACTAAACCATAATCATATAATTTAACATCTACACACAAAAAAATGGTCACCCATCCCTAACTCTTCTCCTCTAATCTTTTCAGTGTCTTGGCTACACAATGTACTCAATAAAGTTTATAATTATAGAAACTACAAATTTCGAGACAGCATATCATATAAGAGGAACTGACAAAAACAACAAGGAAATTTTGGTATATGATAATAATGGGAAGGCACAAATATGAACCACACTCTGGGAACCTTCAGTAGTTTGGCCATCTTCTTGTTCAATATAGGCACCTATCTGAGAACAACTTTGGCCCACTTAACATGACTAGACATCAAATTTTAAAACCATGCACCTACATAGATGCCTGCTTTTTTTCTTTTTTTTTCTCTTCTTGTCACCCTGCCACTACAAGGAGGTATCCATAGCATGGAACCACTCAACATCATTTGAACCAGAATATGGTGTCATTTTCATTTCACAAGAATCTACTAACCATAAATACAAAGTTTGTTTTTGCTTTTGTTCTTTTCACAAAAAGAATTTAAAGCAATTATAACAAAAAATATTCCCCATCTTTTTTTTTTGGTTTAGTATTCCCTATCATTGAAAAATAACTTCCATCTCCTCAGTTATGACCTACACAACCAAAGTTTTGAAAAGTTCAAAAATTCAATGGATGCATTAACTTAGACTCATAACAAATGTGAATCCCACAACAAAGACATATATTACAACACACATCAATGAGAACAATTGAGACTAACTACTTCAGACTTCAATGAAAATAGCTCACAAACACAAACATAGTTATAGATGTTCATCATAACTGCAATCAATTTACCATTTTCCTTTTGTCAATCTACTATCATAACTGCCATTTGAAAACAAAAACTATCGAAATTCACCCTTACAAAAAATATAACATATCCAGGTTTTCAGTAGGTTCACTCTCAACCTGTTAAGACCATTATGGGTTTTCAGTTGGTTCACCCTTAACCTCATCCACGTGTGTGATTGTGTACATGCGTGTGTATATATATATATATATATATCAATGTGTAGAAGATACCTGCTCATCAATTCTTGTCAATTCCTGTCTAAGACCTTTGAGAAGAGCCACCTTAAGATCAAACTCGATTACAAGATCCACAAAACTTGATACCAAAACATTCAAAGAAAAACACAGCATAACTAATAAGTGTTCAAAGAAAAACATTCACCTAAACTTAATTATATTTAACATGAAGATTAACCAACTATGAAACACAATAGCTAGGCTATATGAGTAACTCCACAATTCCTGTCCACATAACATGAATGAAGTACAACACACACATACACTAACTAGGAGCAACCACAAAGCTGCTGCAAAAAGGAATCACAGTAGCAAAGCTGCTATAAAGGTGAAAGAACACAGCAATCAGCATGGGCTACGACCAGTAGAGAAATAAACCAGCTAGCATAACAACAGGGCAACATCAGCAAATCCATCACAGCAGATTCTAGATCCCCCAGTGCTAGCCGATCTACATATGAATTGTATGGAATGAGAGCTCAAATTGCTATAGCTCAGAATAAAACATAGCCATTAAAACAGCCAAAACATCAGCAACATTATCCATCACAACAAAATTCAAACAACAAAATCAGTTGCAAAAAACTGGAAGCAGATGTTCACAAGCCTGAAAGAAATCTGTTCTACCACCACATATTAGAACTATGGGGAGGTTGAACAAATTCAATATACTGTTTGTTCAGGTTCCAACAAACCCCAATGGCAAATTTACATTTTATAAAACAAAGTTGGGTAAAAACTTCCCACAAAATTTAGTCCTCATTCACTCAACGCTCAATACGCAACACAAAACACTCCAAACAATTTATGAGAGCTAGCCAAACACTTAACCCTTAACAAAAAAACTTCCTTACAATTAGGACCAACTTGACAACCTACAGAAAAAGAGTCAGATAAACCATGTCGTTCACCATCACTCAACCCACAGAACTGAGCCTAGTTATAGGGACTCACCATCTCAACCCTCCTCCCTACATGAGACCAGCTTGACAACCTGCAAAGCAAGATAATGAACAAGAATACATGAATATAGAGGTCTCACATCTCTCAACACTTACTTTCAACTCTCAAGAATCTCAATCAATACTCCTAACTGAGGTGGCTCACAATCACTCAACCTACAGCATCCCTAACTAAGTACCAGCATAGCATTGCAAACAAAGGGAAAATGGGGAAAATGAGAAAATCCTATAGTTTCTCTCCTGCCAGATACAATAGACAGCACAAGTAAACATCAATTTCTTCACAGTAGTGGCCAAGGAGTGGCCAGAAATTTGACCAAATAACCAGTCCACACAGCTGCCCCAATTCACAGCAGGCCAGTGCATGTTACATTTTGTTGATTACAGTTTGACACTACTACCTTAAATGATAAACAAAATTAACTCATCTTTTCCAAGTTCCTGCTGGGCAAGTTTATCCCGATTCTTCTGAATAAAGTCAATTGTATCCTCTTTGGTAAGTTCCCCATTGTACTGCAATAGATTTCCACCTGCTGACCTGAAGTACAATGTTGGATAACCTTTCACGTCGAAAATATCAATTGGTACATCATTTGCAGTGGCATCCTACAAAGTACAAAATGGTGAAAGCAATTCAGGAATAAAATTTGTAACAAATAAATGGATCAAAAGCTACGCAGATGAAACCAGTAAGTTGTAATCAAACCAATGCTTTCAATGCGGTAAAGAAATTCCATGGTATGGGTGCAGAAAAAATCATAACCGAAGATACAAATAAAAAAATCATATCAATAATTAGAAAGCAGAATGTAGATTAATGGATGAGAAATAAACCAACATAGATGAGCCAAAATATCAAGCTAGGATTAATTAAAAATAATTTTTACTATATATTGTTGTAAAAGCCAGAAGGAAAAGAATTTTACTCTTCAGCTTTAGAAGCCATAGATGAACAGTACATGAACCTGCAACCTAGAAATGACGGAAGAAAATGATTTCAATTTGCAAGGCAAAAATAACATTAAAGGAAAGGTACTTTGAGAGTAATATTGAAACATAATTCAGGTGCACAATATTTGTAGAAAATAACCGTCTATACTGACAAAGCAACAAATCTCTTCAAGTAGTCTTTAGCTAGTTTGGGCTATAGATTTTACAATCTTTGCAATGACAACATCAGCATCACTTTCAAGTGAAACACCAACTTCATCCAAGATTGGAGCCAAGTTTTTGCAGTGACCGCACCAGGGTGCATAAAATTCCAACGGAACTTTGTAACAAAATGTAACCACATATCAGCATGAATTGACTGATAACTTAACAATCATTAAGATCTAAATTTTTCTTGGTTTCTGACCTCTAAATTAATTATACAAAAACAATCAATGTATTCATCAAAATTACACTTTATGATATCATTACTCATTGTCATGTTAGGCAAAAAGAAGCAAAAAAATTAAGAGACTGTCTGCACCCCAGAATAAGAAAGTTCGACTCCCCCCCTCCCCAAAAAAGAGAAAAAAAAAATACGCACACACACACTCACATTTACAGAATATTATGACAGATTGACAATACACTTCTGAAGAGGCATGACCTTTAACATAGAACAGGTCAATCCAGAATTCTAATTGACATAAGGACCACATAAAAAGCCAAACACCAATCCCAAGTTACTAATATGGATATGAACAAATAAAATGTTGAAAAAACTACAGTCAATAGGTACCACTTTCCCCAGAGTTGAAAACATTGTCCTGAAGTCTGTCAGCAACAATAAATTAATCATTATTTATAACTATATAGTAGTTGAAAAAGATTTATTATTAAGAAAATTAAAATAAATTCAGCAATATATACAACCTATATGGAAAGTCATATTCATTAAAAAGATTTAATTAACATAACACTGACATACCGAAATTTGGGTTGAAGTAATTTACTACCACAAGCCACAAACTCCATGGGAGAGATCCAAGATCGAACCAGTTTAGCCAACCAAAAAAAAAAAAAAAAAAAAAAAAAAAAAAAAACAAACAAACAAACAAATAAAACAAAACAATAAAGAAAAAAAAAACTAGCCATTGTGGCATTTTATCAAACACCTAGCAAACACAATAGAATATCATGAGACTTTACAGTGTGTAGAATCAACAACAATCCATTCAATTCAATGATTATATTGATTATAATATGAATATCATAATCAGAATATAGAACATGTTAATCATTATATTTTCCATATTTTTTTCGCCAATTAAAATCATTCAAGTTGTTCATGGAACCCTTCAAAGTAGAGAAGTTATAGAAATGTTAGAAGCAATGAATGGAATGGCTTTAATCTCATCTTGACCCAAACGCGTCTGAAGACAGAGTAAGGGTAGAGAATGAGAAACGAGAGAATCGAATAGAGAGAGGGGTAGAGAAAGAGAAACAAAGACTACAACTAACCTGGAATTCATGGACGGTGCTACGAGTTAGATGGTGTTCCTTTGCAGTTGGACAATGGTGCAAGAGAGAGAAACGGAAAGCTTTGATGAAGCTATACAGTCTGCCTCTGCGTGTGAAATGAGAGAAACACAAAACTACATAGTTTTATATATTGAAATATTTGGTGACAAAATATTTATCCTCACTAATAATATTTTTAATGAAGATGGAATTTTTTGTCACTAACTTGGCGGCATAATTCCTTCCAAATTTTTTAATAGCAGGAAAAAATTTAGGTGACAAAAAAAATAAAAATAATGACGAAAAATAATTTTGTCACCTAATTTTTTATTATGTAAGTAGATTGGTGACAAAATTTTATTTTTCTCTCTAAAAATGGCACATTTGGAGACGAAATATTATTTTCTTCACTAAAAGGTAAGTCTTTCGTGACAAAATTCATTTTTGTCATTAGTTTTCGTCTCCAAAGACACTTTTTGTTGTAATGACCCACCTTGGCCCAACACACATGGGACCTACACAGCCGGCCATACAAGGCCTCAAATGGTGCCATACCAATACTTGATTGGAAGCTATTATTATAGGCAAACTCTACCAAGGGCAAGTGCCTCTCCCACGAACTCTTAAAGTTGAGGACACAACCCCGAAACATATCCTCAAGGATTTGATTAGTATGCTCGGACTGCCTATCAGTCTGAGGATAATACGCGGTACTAAAGGTCAATCTAGTGCTCAAGGCACTCTACAAGCTTTGCCACAACCAAGCTGTGAAATGCGGATCTCTATCCGATACAATCGTTACTAGGACCTCGTGCAACCTCACTATGTCCCTGATATACAAGTTGGCAAGATGGTCTACCGAATCACTCACGCGCATAGGTATGAAGTGCACAGACTTGGGCAACCGGTCAACTACTACCCAAATGGTATCACTACCTCATTGAGTCCTCGGAAGGCCCACAACAAAATCCCTCGAAACGTGCTCTCATTTCCACTTGGTTATAGGCAAGGGTTACAACAAACAAGCTAGCCTCGGATGTTTGACCTTCACTTGCTGACAAGTAAAGCACCTTGATACAAACACCACCACATCCTTCTTCATACCCCTCTACCAAAACTGGCGACTAAGGTCGTGATACATCTTTATGCCTCTCGAATGCACCATAAGGCACGAATGGTGAAACTCTCGGAGTACTTCCTCTCAGCAAGACTCCGGCATGAACAAGCAATCACGGTATCTCACACTCTAGTCGAGATACACACTCAAGCCTCTTTCTACCATCCCACTGGAGATCTTCTCCCAGAGGGATTCTGTCTCAAGGTCACCCTTCTGTGCTTCTAACACTCGGTTCACAAGTGTAGGTTGTGCAATCACTGAAAACAAGGCTGCAGATTCAACAGACTCACCCAGATGCAACTCAAACTCATCAAGAGTACTCAACATCTCTCATTCTCGAACAATGATACAAGCCACACTGCTAATTGACTTCCTACGTAAGGCGTCAATCATAACATTGGCCTTTCCCGGATGATAATGCAACTCAAAATTATAATCTTCTATGAACTCCATCCATCTCTTCTGCCTTAAATTCAAGTCTTTCTGCGTAAACATATACTTCAGGCTCTTGTGGTCAGAAAACACCTCGAACTTCTCACCGTAAAGGTAATGCCTCCAAATCTTTAAGGCAAAGATTACTGCTGCAAACTCTAAGTAATGAGTAAGGTAATTTCCCTCATGTGTTTTCAACTGCTGTGAACCATAGACCACCACCTTGAAGCCATGTGCAATGCAGCAGAGTAGATAACTAAACTAAACAAATGGCTGAACTTGTTTGTATGTCAAGACCAAAACAGAGCAAATAAAAGCAAGATATATGCCCTCAAAAGCAAAAGCACACCAAACCTCCCAAACACATCTTATTCATAGGCTAATAATAAAGTCAAGTGCTTAATTAACAAGACAGATGGTAATTGGCAAGCATCTTATTCAAGCCAAGTGGTAATTCCACTCCATGAAATCGATTAAGGAATGAAACTGCTAGCATATGAGTATGGTGGTGGTGGTGCTATGACGTAAAACCATATCCCATAGCTAACTATCAAAAACAATAGGGAGATGTGCAATAAGGCACTAAAAGGATGCAACGGGTGAACAAGTGTAATCACCACGATTGAGGCAAGAAAGCATGTTGTGGTCAGTGGACAAGTTCAAAGATTGAAGAAGTAGAATGGTTTTTATGTGATGATAGAATTTTTTAATAGAACTACATTGAAAAGATTGTGGGTAGTGTTGTGCAGATTGGGGGTAGTAAAATTACTGGTGCAAATATGTATAACATCAAATTTGGAGGAGACAACATTAGAACCAAAACCCCCAGTCATGTCCCAAAAACCCAAATTGCTCAAACATTGAAGCATCCAGTTTACAGCTTCATCAAAGAAACCATAACTTGAAGACACAAAAAACAAGCTTTAAAAAACAAAAAAATAAAAGCAAAAAAATTGTTTATATAAAAGTTCAGAATATTTATTTAATTTTTTTTAAAGGAAAGGAACTATAAACAAATAAAAGATCAACCAGTAGTGTGAATCAACAAAAATAGTGCTTACAAACAATCAAACATTACTCACTGATTTACAAGAGAATTACTGTAAAAAGATGTACGACATCAACATTTAAACAGTAGAATGAGCATCCCAGTACAAAAAAAACCCAAATCTCTTACTAGTCACACATTAAGATAATATATTTCTAAAATCAAATTAATCTCTTAAGCTTGAATTTGGGATTTCTTTCTGGAAATCAACACAAACCCTATAACAAGTGTAGGAAATTAACACAAAATGAACACAAAAATCTAGATTTTGAGTTAAGAAATCAACACACAATCAAATAAAAAAAATCATATAAAACCATAGAGCTACGTGTGAGAAATGAGGAAATAGAGGAAGTGAGAGAGAGAGACCGAGATAGACACAGAGGGAGAGGGAGAGAGAGTGAGATCGACAAAGAGGGATCGAGACTGAGAGCGACAGAGAGGGAGAGAGACCAAGAGTGACAAAGCAAGAGAAAAATACCTGTGATTAAGTGGCGCTGCTGATTTGCAAGTGGCGATGTGCGACGGTGGCCAGCGCCAGTGTTGAGCGTTGGTGGTGAGCAGGGGTAAGGTTTGGTGAGAGCAAAAAGTGTTTGAGACAAAACAGTGTATATCGTGTCTGTGAGAGACAGAACAGACAGTGTAGATCGGGCGCCAAAATCAATTTCTTTCCTTCTTAAAAAAAAAAAAATTCAACCTTTAGCGACTAAATTATTTTTTTGTCACCAAATAGTAATGAATAACGACTAAAACTGTTTTGTAGCCAATGATTAATTAATAGAGACTAATATATTGGTAGCCAAAAGTATCATGTGGCTACTAATTTTCTTTTCGTCGGCAAAAATTGAATATACAACGACTAAATTTTTTAGTCCCCAAAAGGTGTAAAAAATGTCCATAATATTTGGCGACTAAACTATATTTTTGTCGGCAATTATCCTTATTCAGCGACTAAAGCTAGAAATAGTAGCGTAAAATATAAACTTTTGGCGACTAATTGTTATTTAGTCGCTGATTACTATATATTTACTGACTAAATTTTGTTTTAGTCACCAAAAAGACAATATATCTCTACTAAATTCAAATAGTAGCTGAACTGTGGACCTTTGGCGACTAATTTTTTTTTATAGTTGCCAAAAAGTATATTTTTGGCGACTAAATTTGTTTTGGTCGCCAAATGTGTAGTTTCTTGTAGTGAATTCAAATAAGTAAAAATAAAAACAAATAATAAAGAAATTAATATCATAATACGTAAGTTGCTTAAATGGTAAGTGTGTTTTTAATGAAATATAAAGTTTTTGGTTCAAATCTTACTTACGATATGGTATAATAATTTTTTCTTTTCGCATATAAAAATTTGTCACGTGGCATGAGAAGAAAGTTTGGAGCTTTTGATACTAAGCCTAGTGTTCACATATATAACTAGTGCGTTGCGCGTGCATAGCACGTGGTTTTCATCTAATCTAATATAATGTGGTGTAATTAATTTTTAAAAGTCCTTGTTATCTGTATTTGTTCTTGTAATATGGAGAATAAACTTTAGAATAGAATGAATATACTAATAATGCACTCCTTTGTAAGCATATTGTATAGACAATTTAGCAAAATCATGAAAAAATATAACATATGTAAACTTTAAAAATATAATAAATAAGTTCTTAAATACATAGTGTTACCATAAAGAAGAAAAAAGAAAAGAGAATAAAGAGTTTTTGGGACTAGTCCTATGTAGTGAATATCCTATGTAACGAGAAAGATAGCACTATTTATAAGAATCATTTTATGTTTTATGCAGAAATTGTATGAAATTTTTTTTTGGGTGGGTAAAATTGTATGAAATTTTTTTTTTGGGTGGGTAAAATTGTATGAAATTTATTTTGTAAGAAAATGAAACTTAATGTTTCGATCCATATAGAAATTGCATAAGTAATTTATTAATTGGAAAAACTTCACTTTACCCCCAATGGTTTAGGCTATGTGCGGACGTCACCGATTGAGCGCTCGGTGATGACGCATATTGTGCTCGTTCTGAGGTTGCGGAGTTTCGGTTGAGAGCCTTACCTCCGGACTTCGGGACTCTTTTGTACTTTGTCTCGATTTGCGAACCAGGTCTTGTTTTCTCTATTTTATCTTCCCAAAGGGAGAGAGAGGTCTTGAAGACCATCTCTCAGTGGCCGTAGGCTACGTTTCGTGGTCGTAGGCCACTATTCCCGTTTGGAGACCAGTTTTCGATTTTCGGAGCCGTCGACAGCGCGCCTCGGTTCAGGACCGCTTAACTACCTCCGTTTGCTCCGGTTTTTGGCACACACCTTGTTTCCTCTCCCTAGAGGGACACTGTGGCCCGGGAGACCACCTTCATGGTCGCATGCCACTTCCGGTGCTTGATAGTCAGTTTTTGGGGTACCCGGCTTGGCGTTTTGACCGCCGAACCCTCGTTTTGCATCAGTGTGGGTTCATTTTTGGCATGGACCCTATTTTCATTGTTAGGAAGGTGGTACAAGGGTGGGAGACCACCTTTTCTCCTTGGAGACTAGCTTTCTCCTTGGAGACCACTTT